AAAATTAAAGCTGTCACGTAAGTAACTGAAGACCAGGATGTCTGTGGTAGGATGTCTAGGCTTGGACATCTCTGAAATGCTTCAGATTCCACGCCTAAAGTTGGTCAGGAGATCAGAGAAACACTGAAGTGTGAGTGAGATTAAAAGTATGTGGAAGAGGGTTAGCACCTGTTAAGACCTGGAGGAACTTTTGGAATAGCTGAGTCTACACAAGAATGGGCTTCATCAAAATGAAAAGAGAATCAGTGTCCCGGCACTTCAGATGAAACGTTACAGCAGATGTCTTAAACTAAATATTGGGGAGAGTCAGTACAGGAGAGGTTCAGGAGCATACCTTCTAAGAGTTAAGTCACGAAAACTCTGTAGCCTTAGGAAAACAGTGCAACACAAATCGGTAAAATTCAGGTATGAAACAGGACAAGGACAGCCCCAACAACTAAAGGCACATTTAAGCAGGGCGCATAAAAACAGGCAATGAAGTCAAGACAGACCAACCTGTGCTTCTAGGCTAGAATTCCAAAAAAAGAGAGGAACTGAAAAGCCAGGATAAATAAGTATGTTGGCTTAGCAGCATCTTATAAACTCGACACAAGGAAGATTATTAGTGGTACCCTAAATTTCAGCATACAAGCTCTGTAGGAAGACCAAAACAAGTAGCTAGCGAACAAAGTGTGGCATGTTCCAGGAAAACATGAAGGTAAAAGCGTGAGGCTAAGATTTACCAGCACCCACAAGCAATGCAGAATGTGCACGGACTCAAATCCCAAGCCTAAAGAGAAACAGGAGAGCATTGAGGCTACACTACCAACCACTGGAGCGACCGTAACGGCACCCACGAAAGGCTGGAAGAGATGCAGAAAGGCTGCGAAGGCAGAAATTGCCACGGGAGACTTGTGTTGCTTCCACAAAAAAACCACACAAGCATCACGATAACGCACAAGACTAAGGTGACATTTATAGACGTGATCAGTGGCTTCTTGGTGCTACCAGCGAAATAATACAAAAGTACATAACTCTTCCTTTGGTCCCAAGCTGCTCCAAAGTAGAGTAACTGAAAAATCACTTTGTTACAGTACTCATCACACAGTAAAACTCAACAATATTTTTAGAGGGGTTAAGCCTCCCACGACAGCAACAATGAGTTTCAGAAAAGGGAGGGGGAAGCAGCTTGCAGGTGATGCGATGGTTATTTAAACACGCTTCCAATGGTAATATAAAACGCATCCAAAAGAACACAAAGAGCTAGCAGAGTTAAACAGTGAACAAAAGGATTTTAGAAATAAAAGGACACCCTTCAAAGAGGGGAAATGTTTCCAAAGGACATGAAAGGCCAAATGTGCACCTGAATTAAAAAAACAAACAAACAAACCCCAAACCAGTAAATGAGACACGTGTAGTTTTTGAGAAATGACCTGTTAAAAAATTAAAACTCTGAAGACCTTTTTCAAACACCTTGTGGGTACCAGCCTGCTGCCAAAATTGAAAGCCTAACAGATCAGCAAGGTCACAGCAGAAAACCAAAACTCTCCGTGTTGGTGTTCAGCAGAAGAGCCCAGGAAGAAGCCGCCAGACCCTGTTTCCCAATGGACAAGGCACAAGGAGAGATTAACGTGGAAACTTCTGCAGGAGAAGTTTTAGAACAAGCTGCCAAGAACGAGAAGTAACTAATCACCAGGACTAGATAATGCTCAACATTTCTACAGTGACCCAAATGCGCACCAGGTGAATGATTAACAGGGATGTGGAGGCTACTGCTTACCTTGGCTCGGGAGCCAGAGGAACGAACGGTGGCAAACACAGCATCGATTTTGTAAAAAAAAAAGGTCTCTGGGGCGAACCTGGGAAACCACCGGAGTCTGACTGTTGTGCAAAGCAACGGATTGTCGCAGTTGGTGCGAGGGTAAAGGCGATGCACTTGGAAAGGGTGGACACAGCCTCCGTGGGGGGAGGCCGCGCATCACCTACGCAGAGTTTGCTGGAAACATCACTGAACAAGCAGATGCAGCGCGTGGGGCTGACCAGGCTTGGGTTTTCAAAAAGGGGTTTTTTTGTTTGTTTGTGGGGTTTTTTGGTTTTTACAGGTGGCTCAGCAAAGACCTGAAGGAAGCTCCTCTTGTGAAACAGTAACTCTTGAAAAGACAAGAAATCACACAGAACTTCAAGGGTTATTTTTCACCACAAAGGGAGTCCTGAGGGGAACCATGCTTGTCCCTCTGTTGTGGAAGATGCTCACGTGTCACGTAGAAAAGAGACGAACAGCGAAGCGACACGGGTCACGGAGGGGTGGCCTGAAGCTCCCCTGGCACCACGCTGACCCAGAACACAGGATGAAACTGAGATTTGATCCCCGAAAAAGGTGGTTGTAACACCACGAACGCGTACGTTGGCACAAGTCACACCTACGGACAAGGACCGACGAAGCGTGGTCTCACCACGACGGTAGCAGCCAGTCCAGCGAGCGAGATCCGCCCTCGCAGGATGCAAAAACACGGGGTTCATCGCTAACGGTCTCTGTAGACTCACTGACTACATGTTCACATGGCAAATACAAGAAAGAACACTAATTATCACTTTTCCAATAAAAGTGAAGGATAGTATTAAAATGTGTAGAGAATTGTAACAAAACATGACGAAACATGAATTAAGAGCAGTCAACAGAAACGAGTAGGAAACATCAGCCGTCCAAACCAGTAACACAGAACTCCAGACAGCTTTTCCCTCATAAAGTCAAAAATAAAAACCCCACAAAAGATCAAAGCTGAAAACAAGCATCAAGACCGGAGGAAAGGCAAATGTTTTTCGCCTTTTTGAAGGAACTGCACGTGCACCAAACCCACCAGCATTCAGGCTGATAGGAAGCAACTCCCATCTCAGACAGATGGGGAACACCAGGATACGTCCATTTTCTCCGGGTATACAGACCACTGAAGAGGTGAGAGCCATGCAGAGATCATGTAATAATTTTATTATCATTGTATGCTGAAATAGTACACTTTTATCAAGACTGAAGGACTGGTGGTTATATGTTTGTATTGCTTTAATTTTATGATGGCTGTCGCCAGGAAGAAAATAATAGTTTGCAGATAAGGACATCTCGGAATAGACTTGAAAGACGACGAACAAAGCCATTACCTCGGAGTATCCTGTCTCTAACAACACTGTTGCGCCAATGCTGGGAAATAAAAGATAAAATAACTATAAATGGTTAAAAAGTAACCTGATTCCTGTGAATAGAGGCAGGTGGTAATGTTCAAAAGCCAAGGCAGGATTTAAAGACACACTCCCCACAGCAGCAAGAGAGAACCGGTTTCTGCGTTGCACAAGCAAATTACACCACCTTTGAGATCTGGGTGTCTGCAGGAAGCTGTGACCTGCCAGGATCCCCAGGTAGGAACTCCACGGATGGAGGAAAGCAAAACCAGGCCTGCACCCAGCTTGCTGAGGTTCGTTTCAAGTTCGTCCTTCCTTGGTTGGGTTGGAAATAGAACATCTGTCTTTAGAGAAGTTGGCTTGTTGCTGTGTATTACTGGCCAGGGAGTGAATCACAGATGGTCAATCCAAGTTGAACTTTCTGAAACAGTCAGAGGGAATCACATCCCAAAATCTAGCAGTGGAGGAAGCCTGACTGCTCTCAAAGATGTGCAGAGGCTCTACCTAGGGCAGGGACCGACGGGTTACGCACTCCAAAACTGAGCAGTTCAGGAAAACAATTTTTATTTGACATCCTTGGAGAAACTGCGTAAATGCCACCAAAGTCATGTGAACAATCCAAAAGCAACGATGTGGTCAGTGTGGCCAAGCAGAAATGAAATCAACACCCAAATCTAGTGCTTGCTGCCTGGATTCTCGAGGGAGAGAGAAGAGAACAGGCAGCAACCTGCAAAACTCCACTGGGATTTCCCCAGGCCAGTGTGCCCGAGGCTTCTCATGGTCTCCCCAAGAAACCGGTGACCTGGAACTGTCGGATATATTGGTGATGAGGATGCCTTTACTGGCTGAGACATGGAGAAAAGACTGAGGGATACTGGTCATTTGAAGAAAAGGATTACAGGGAATGCAGAAACGAGTATGTCTGACAAAGCTTAACAAAATCCTGTTGGCTTAATGCCATCTGCTGCAACAAATGCAGCAGGGCTTCCCCAAGAGCTCCTGTACTCTTCTCCGGGAGAAGACGACAGCCTGGAATCACTGACATGCTGGTGGGAAAAGACCTTCTAGAGATCTCTGCTCCAACCTCCCACGCACAGGGGACCACCTCCAACGCTTGAAACGCTGTCATCATGGAGAATCCCCAGCTCTCTGGGGATCTGCCCCACTGCGGCACCACGCTCCTGGGGAACGATTGGTTTTTCATCCCATGTCCAGTCTGAACCTCCCAAGCTGCACCTTATGGCTGTTGCCTCTTGTGCAGTCACCTGCCACTGTCAGAAGAGTTTCCCTCCATCCCCTCAGTAAATGCCCTCCCAGCAGCTGCAGGCTGCAGGCAGATCACCCTTTAGCCTCTCCTGCCCCAGACCGAACAAGTCTCGCTCATTCCGCAGACTTCTGAGCATCCTGACAGCCCTCCGCTGGCTCATCCCCAGTTTCTCAGAGCTGAACAGCTGCCTGAAAACTTTGTGGTTTTCATTTCAAACGGCACGAGCATTTTCGAGAGAATGACTGACCAGAAAGGCAACCCTACAGTGGACGGTTCCCTTCCAAGACTCCTGAAAGTCCTCAAGGATGAATCATGGCCACCACGTTATAAACCACCTGAGTCAGCATTTGCAATTGCTGCTAGCTCTGATGTGCGGGCTGTATTCCTTCTTCAATTCCACGATGTGAAAGGTGGAAAGAAAGGGGATCCGGCTCATATGCCAATCTGATCTGCCTGAGGGTTATCAAGGCCAGGAAGGAGGATTAGCTGGAGCCTGACTCACCCACTGCTCCGCACAGGCATTGCAAAGGGAAGAAGGTGAAGAAACAGGAGAGTGGGGAGAGCCTGGTGGTGAAACACTCACTTGTAATTGTTGTTGATGTCAGAGACGCGCCAGACGTTCTGCAAGTCAAAGCCCATCCTCACCAGCTCCATCTCAAATCGGTATTTCACATGGTCTCCTGGAAGAACAGAGCACAGGGCATTTACGGACAGCTAAGCAGACTGGATGAAAGCTAAACATGTTAAGAGGCAGCTCCACAGCAACTGTCATAGGCTGGAGAGAAGCTACAGGACAGCTGGATGGCAGGGATCTTGCTTCAGAAGCCAAAGAGACTTGTCCCTCATGGGGGTTCCTCTGCTTATTTTGTCAAGTCAGATCACCTCTCAGGGCACAGAGCAGCATGGAACCAGCCTTCTCACATCTCTGTGTACGTGTGTGTTAATTTAATCCACTTTGGCCCTTCTGACAGAGATGGCTTCCAAAGGGGATGGCAGGAACCCCATAGCAGAGGAGTACTGAGCACCCACTCCAGGCAGTTCCTTCTTCCAGACTGCTCTCTGAGGGTGACTCAGGGTTTGCTCTCTTACGTTTTAGCCCCTCCTTATAAATCCTGGGTGCCTTTGTTGCTCCAGTGTCAAGTCTTGTTAATAAATAAATACTGCAAAGCTCTTCACCTCATTCATATCCTGCAGCAACGACTTCCACAGGTAAGTTTGTTTATACTAGAGAACAGCCCTTTCTCTAAAGGAAAGACAGCAGGTATTTCCCAGTTGCTGGTGTTTGGGACATGGTAAGATAAGAACACATAGTTTACCTTTTCTTTGTCGGCTTCTTTTTGATACCTCTTTCAGCTAAACTATTCAATCCCATCCCTCCATCCCAACCTGTGTTTGGACATTTCATTCAGGCTACTGCGTCTCTCCTGTAGCATCAGCACATTTTTAAGTCTAAAGCCAGGGTTGTCCCTCATTTTAATACCCTTTTATTTGTGATGAAGCTGGTAAAAGACAAAGCAACTGCAAATGAACTTTGTGCTCCCAGAGAAGGGAAACTCCCAATCCACACGAGGGCACCATCGGAGCTCTGGTTTTCTCTTTATGGATTTAACCATCTTATTTGTGCCTGCGTAAGGATGAGCAAGACAGCTCCACAGACCTGATCATGGGAATACCACAGCATTTCTAGGTGTTGGTGAAGAGATGCAGATGGACTCATATTAATTATGCTGCCTCAGAGCCGACAATGTTTACTATCCAGGAACAAGGCTGCTGGAGCTCTCCATCATCATGATGAGAGTCCTAAATCACAGGATGTTTTCTTCATTCACAAGGAAAAAGGGAAAAGCTGCTTATGTGTGGCTGGCTCAGAATGCTCCTCATTGTGCTTATGACTATTATTCCTTTTACTGCGCTTGTTATCCAGCCACATCTGGCCATCAGCTGGATCTTTAGGCCAGGTACAGGATGCCCCTCAGCAAGATGAACTGGGGCTATGGCTACAGCAGAGCTTCAGACAGAGCCAGACATCAGTTTAGGAGCAACTGTTCGAATTGCACTGCAGTGCTTCTGGACAGAGGAGCAGGAAGGGGACAGGCCAGCAGCTTACCTGGACGGCAGAGATGTGCATGTTGATCCTCCTCATCAACACAGACTCCTAAGCACCACGCATGGTAGGCAAACGCAAAGAGGTCCTCAGGCTTAGCAGGGCGGGCAATGGCTCGAGTTAGCCTCTTTAGCCACTCCTGGCACTGCTTAAAGGTGGAAAAATGGCACCTACAACCCAAATGCAAATCATCCTCAGTGGGTACGTTCATCCTACACAGGCAGGGAGCTCTGCTCCACTTAACCAGGAAAAGGACCAAAGCACCAAGTCTTAGTAGCCTTGGCCGGGAACAGCTCGGTTCCAATGGCCGCACACAGGGAGACACCAGAGCTGACCGTGGCCACCCGGCCCGCAGGGGCCTCTACAGCACAACAACCAAAGGGATACCTGATCACTTTGGAGTCCTTGCAGACGATGTGAAGCTGGAACATATCCCGACACTCCACACTTTCCATCATCCTCAAAGGCACCTACGAGGAACAGATGTAGGGCATGACAAGACATACCACATCACACAGCAGACAGAGCAGCCTTGCCCGCAGGCCCATCACGCACAGTCACGGCTCTATCAACAGTCATGAGCTTCTCGTTCAAAATGCAAACCCACTCTGAGGTTTATGAAGCTTCATGACTCAGCGTAGAGCCTCCTTCAACCGCTGCTATTCTGATTTCTATTCTGTCCCTGCATAGTCTCCCACCCGGGGCCAGCTACCGACTAAATTGCATCCAGACAAGCACAGGTAGCTGAGCCAAACAAAAGCTGCAATAAAGGTTAGCAAGTCAAGACAGTGACAGAAAGCCTCAGGCTCCCACTGTCTGACTCTTGGTTGCTGGTCTGCAAGTAGGAGAAAACTCATCAAAACTGGCCCGCAAGAGACCTTAACAGTCTTAAAACTGTCAAGTTTAATGCTTGAATTTAAAAGAGAACAGCAAGGGAAAGACCTAATTATTATCCGAAGGAAAACCCCATCCACACACCAAAATGCAGCAGCAAAACAGCAACTGCAAGACCTGCAGTAACTACAGACAGCGTCAGGCCTGGCATCCTTCAAGAGACACAGTTCCCATGCCACAGACCACAGAAATGGCTTCTGGCCCACACCTCGCCCCCAAAGTACTGTGAGAGATGATGGCAGCAGGAACAGGCAGATCCAGACTTACATTGATCACAGAATCCTTGAATTTGATATGAAGCCGGTAGTTGGAGATGGCGATCACAGCATCGTTTGCATGGCCAAGATACTCCACTCCCTCACCCTGCAACACAGTGAATGGGACCTGGAAGGGAGACATCACTAATTCAAGACAAATGCAGAGTACTTTGTGCTCCCTAAATGCCAAGAGCCACTCTTCCCGCTGCCTCTGCAGTGCATCTCCTGCAGGAAATCACTCACAGCAACGCGCTCGTCGTGCACGGAGAGCAGACAACAGCACGAAACAGCACTGGTACCCGCTGCCCAGCCCCACCGGATGGATCTTCTTCCAAGGATGCCCCAGGAGCCACTGAGCACCTCCTGATGGGTAATTACTTGCAGAGGTGAGGGGTGACCGTGAACGTTAGACACCAACTGTGGGCACCTGCCAGCGAGGGTGTTGCAAGGAGACAGAGGGATTTACCGGTCCTCGCTTTTCAGAGAGGGTAAACGCAGCCCTGGTGCAAGTGGCGTGACAAAGGACACCACCTCAGGCACAGCTCTGACACGAGCTGGGGAGTGCTCTGCACAGCTCCAGGCAGAGCCTGATACGATCAGAGTCCTCCGCCCCAAGGCAGAGTGTCGCAGACATGATCCTGCCGCATCATTTAAATGAAGGGGGCTCTTTGCGGCACTGCGAGACTCACTGGTACCAATCCAGGTAAGTAAATGAATCAAAGTTTTGCCCAATTTCTGCTAGCAAGGCTCTGAGGGAACCTCTATCTATAGTTATTTATATGACTGAGGAAACCTCATTCAAGTTCAACAAGGCCAAGTACAAGGTCCTGCACAGGGGTTGAGCAATCCTAAGCACAAATACAGGCTGGGCGACGAGTGGATCCACAGCAGCCCAGTGGAGAAGAACTTACGGTTGCTGGTCAACCAGAAGCTCAACAAGACACAGTCATGTGCGCCCACAGCTCCAAAAGCCAACCGTATCCTGGGCTGCACTAAAAGAAGCGTGACCAGCAGGTGGTTCTCCCTCTCTGCTCTGCTCTGGTGAGACCCCACCTGCAGTCCTGTGTTCAGCTCTGGGGTGCCCAGCGTAAGGAGGACATGGACCTGTTGGACAGTGTCCAGAGGAGGCCATGAAGATGTTCAGGGGGCTGGAGCACCTCCCTCCCCGATGAGGACAGGCTGAGAGAGCTGGGGTTGTTCAGCCTGGAGAAGAGAAGGCTCCGGGGAGACCTTACAGTGGCTTTCCAGTGCTGAGAGGGGGCTGCAGGAGGGGTGGGGAGGGACTCTTTATCTGGGAGTGCAGTGATAGGTAACAAATTCCCCTCATGGGAGATTTAGATTAGATATTGGGAAGAAGTTCTTTGCTGTGAGGGTGGAGAGGCCCTGGCACAGGCTGCCCAGAGAAGCCGTGGCTGGCCCCCCCCCGGCAGTGTTCAAGGCCCGGCCGGG